GCATGATACTGTCCTGGATTCGTTGGGTGACTGAATATAAGGGAGCCCGCCAGGAGGGAGGAGAGCTGCCCGACAACTGCTGTAACCGCCGTGAGAGATTAGACAATAAAGCCTAGAGAAGAATCAAGATCTTGGGCGTGTTGCTTCGGTCCTTGAAGGGTCGCGACACTAAGCACAGATGAACTGACTGCTCTACAGAACATTTACAACTCCCTACTTTCCTCTCAGCGGGGCTAGATTTCATTGTGGTATTCGGGATATGTTTTTGCAAAAGAATTCTTTCTTGCATCTGAAAGGTCATATAGAGAATTTTATTAGGCTCAGTTGAAAGAACAGAAATGTTTAAAAATCACAGAAATCTAATTTAAGAAAAGCTAGAAATGTATTTTATTGGTAGTCATAAAAGATCCTAAATATACTCTAAAAACATGCAGAAAAGTTGGAGTAGGGTCAGTTAGTCCTTAATCTTTACTTGCTAAAAAGAATGACAAGACAGACTAGACAAAAACAAAATTTAAGTAAGTTACTTGTGTTTATTTGCATAAGCACCTAAGTTACACAGGAATCAGGGCTAAAATTCACTGTGACCTTGAACCTTGAACCTCCTAGTCATTCAGAAAAGTACCACTTTTAGAGTGCAAGCACAGAGGGTAAAAAATGGCTTCTGGGGCAAAATATCAGCATGTGACCTGCCATGAGATAAGGGAACACAACCAATGAGGGGAAAGAAAAATATCTGCAAACTCATGAAAAAGCAGCCTGTACATCTGGGATTTTCTTCCAAACCAGACTGGGACATTTGCACTCTCCTTCAGGCAATTTTGAAAAGTGTTTCACAGCTTTAGCGTCTCCTGCTAGAGGAGGGATCGTACTGACCTCTCCATAGGCCTTTATTCCTGACAATGTTCAATAATAGCAGTCATTACTGTATATAAATCTAGCCTTGGAAATGGGGCAGAAAGATGAAGAATGAGGAAGCCAAGCAGCTACAGAGGAGGGCAGGATGAGGGCTGCCATTCTCCCCACTTTTCCTACCCCACGTGGTGACAAGTAACCGCTCCAGTCAGTGACAAGCAATCGACTTCTTCCACTTAATTCCTTTGTGGCACTGACAGTCATCGGGTAATACTTCCCACGTAAAGCTAAAAGAGCTGGTTGTGAAACAGCTCTTAATCCTAAGGTATTTGCTCAGCCTCTATTAACATTGTAACAGCCCTCGGCAAATAATTTTTACAATTTCTCCCAGTTTAAAAGGGTATGAAAATGAGGAAAATTGTTCTGCAAAACTTATTTTTCCTACATATTTTAACTTTTTATAACAGGGAAAATATAAATAAAGACAAACACCAAATAAAGAATAAATCTGGTATTAAGAACTTTGTTGTGACCACAGAATATGTTAATCAGGGAAGCAGATGAGCCTCCTATAATGAAGGTTAAATAAAGGGCAGAGAGCCACACACAGCACAGGACGCCTCAAACTTTAGCATCAGGGACATTTTGGATAATTCTTTGAGTGGAGACTGTCTATAGATAGATATCTTGGTTGCAAACCAATTTCACAGTGAGATGGACCACAGAGTCTTAAATCTGTTCAAGCCCAGTGATGTACCAGAATGAAGGGATTTTTATCAAATGACCTTAAATATTTTCCAGTTCTAAGATTCCACAAGTCTTTGAGTCTAAGACTAGAAATAATGATCAACAATGGGGGGATAAGAGGAACATTCAGAGATCACTACATTGATTTCATATAATAATAACAACAGACAACATTTTTACTACTTGCCAGATCAAGGCACTTTACATGAATATTAATATTAGAATGACTCATTCATTAAAAAATGTCTTAAACAGTCTACTTACTGAACTAAAGATTGGGATGGAGCTTATAGGAGAAAAATGAATTAAAACTTTAAGGTTCCTGGCCACAAACAGAATACAAACTAGTTAGGTTGAAAAGAAATGTATCATGTTTCTAATTGCGTGAGTTTGACAGAAGTGTTACCACAAGGCAGTATATTATTCAACGTTCAAAGAGTGGTATAAATAATAAGCCTTATGAGGTTAGGATGAGAAAAACTGATTAGGAAAGGATTCATGGAAAAGGCAGACAGATCTTATACAAGGCTTGGAAAATGGTAAAGATTTCAACAGAAGGAAAGTGTGGGATATAATATGAATTCAGGGGAGCAATGTGAGCAAAGATATAAGGTAGGAATGAGCAAAATTTTCTGAGGGATGAGAAAATAGATCACCTTAGCTGAAACATGGCTACATGTAGGATAATGATAGAAAGTAAGGATGGAAAAATACATTAGGACCAAAACAGGCATAGGGTTGTGAATGCCAGGTTAAGAAAAGATGACAAGGA